ATTACCATCTAAAAACTGTATTTTGTAAATTAATAAACAGAACTCGTGTAAATTTAACTACATCTGTGCAAGTATACGTTTTTTAATAATCGAATATATTAAAATATGAAAATCCACTTAAAAAGTTATCGATTCAAAATAATTTGCATTAAAAAAATATATATACATATATGAAATATTGTTATGTAAATATTCATCACAAAGATATTCGTTTTCAAATTTCATTAAATATGTTGTGACATGCATAAAACATATAAATATTCTTCATTTTTTAAGTTAGTTATTTATTTAGATAGGTACGCACAGTAAAATCTGCAAGAAATACATTTAATTTATGCTTATATTTTAAATCATAAAGATTCAACATTAGACATTATTTCAATATATTTATCTCACCAAGTAACATTAAATTTAAAAGCTCCAATAAATTGTTTAACCAAACCGATAATTGTATAAAACATTTGATAAAAAAAATGCAATAAACACACTTTGCAATTYACTATTACAAATTACAACCGCATATGAAAGAGAGAAATATMGAATATTTATTTTATAAACCTACTCGATTTAAAAAATATACAAATATAGCCATTGCATAACCCTAATTAATACTTTGTAATCTTGAGCACAAATTGCAGTGATAAGATGATCATAAATATATCATAATATATACGAGTATCTATATGCATTTATACATATTTTAAAATAAAACTTAAAACTGCTCGAGTAAAATATAGAAAACAGCAATATGTAAATTGAATTTAGGTAATAAATAATAATCAATAATACATATGATTGTTTACATGCATCTAATATTGTTTTTTTAATCATGATAATTTATGAAATATTCTAAATAAAAAGTTAAAAAATAAATAAATTTTACAATATATTCATATGATATATAATTTTATATCACAAATATTACAAGTTGTATTATTTTCTTAATYTTAAAACTGATAAAATATATCTTATTGTTTACATAATTGAAAAAATTCGAATTAGCATTTTACAAAACAAAGTACTAATATTGAAATGATATTGTAGCAGATGATGATTTGGCTACAAGATATGKTACGGATGTGGCGGACAGYTGCAACGATACGCATGTTGCTATGCCATATAATTCCGATGTCAACTCTACATCCTATTTTGAAGATACCAATCAAAAGGCTCGACCTGAACTTTCAAACCTACCCCGCTCAAGTAGTAAGTAAAATTTATTTCATCCTGTGATCGCAAAATAAATACAAAATATGAAATTGCGTGCAATACTAYATTATATTTTTTTATTATTAGACTGCTATATATTAATCAGAATTATATTTGTATACACCCCATATTTCCACTAATTATTAAAGTAATTTAATTTCTAATAAATGGCATCTATTTAAAAAAAAAAAAAAAACAAAAATTATTCGATTTTCGATGAGCCAAAACTAAATTTCTGCGTGAACCACCTTATAGTAACTTTTAAAGGTTGAAAATGTAAGCTTTAAACACTTGCCAAATTATAAAGGATCTATTTATATGTATAACTTTTATTAACAACGGTTCAGTTGTTTTTGTATTTTTAGAAGACAACTGGATGTACAAGGATACATTAATTTTTATATTTGTACATATCAGATAGACAAAAGTAAGGAACTGTACCTCTAAAATGCTTAAATTATAACTAATACTTAAGTGACAAGATATTTTGGTAAATTGGTAGTGTTTAATATTTCATTATTAACCCTGCAGAACGTGAAATAATATTTAATGAATAATAACATTTTATATTTGCATAAAATTAAAAATTAAAATGAGTACATTTTTATTTGTTAGAGTGAGTAGATAATTTTTCGAGGATTGACACAAATACAAATTGGTTATAATTTTAAATTTAAATCTTTCGTACGTAGATATGTATAGATTATATCAACTTCGTCGGTTTTAAACCATTAACTTTGAAAGTTCAATAACCTTTTTTTATATCGTGTTCTAGTTCATATAGTTATACCTGCTACTAGTCTGTAATATTTTAAGTTTTGTCACATAGAATAGATGTATTGTATCATATAAAATCTAAGGGAAATAGTAGAATTCTGAAAAATAGATAGGTATGTKGAACGTATAAATCCCGGAATGTGTAGTTACGGAATTTTACGAATTTGCCATATCGTTTATTTGTTTAATTCCGAGAAATCTATAAGAGGACCATAATATAAGCTTGGAAGTTAAAATATATTTATTAAAGAAAAATATGATTATAATTATTCCAAGGCAGACATTTTGTTCAAGGCATATAATTCATAGTTATTGAAATAAAGGTTTATAGGTACATGGTAAATTAATTTTAAAAATAGTATGTTWTTTTATGTTTAATACATTATTTATAATTATAAATAATGAAGGTTTTAATGAGTAATGACTAATGGATATAATAATGATACACTTGTATATAACTATGTACGATTGATATTAACTATTCATAATAATATTWAAAATAAAATTAACCATAAAGATACCTACTTATAGTTCCTTATTACTCAACGAACATATTTATTTTAAATATTAGATACGATTCTGGTTGTATTAGACCTGCAAACCTACCTATAGATTTGTTACCCAACGATAAAAGTAATTTAAAATGTATAATATACATTATATTCAGTTTATCTCCCATCCCTTGGAAATTGGTGTAGGGTTTCAAAGTCGTGCTAGGATTAAAGGTGGCTAGAGTCCATGCACCACGGATATTGAATATTAGTGGGTCCCTGTGGGCAGAAGGCAGAATGTTTCATTTTTTGGATAAAAAATTGTATTATACCTATATTTATTTTAGTACATTTCTATAGTATTCAGTAGTACACCCATACAATTTCATTTAATGTATATTGTATATACCTATTTATGATAATATATTCTACGGACTATATTTCCTTACAGGTAGTCGATTATAGACATCCATAATGGATTTATAATTCAATTGGTTTTCGGGGCAATACTTCTGTTTTTATTCACGAATATTTATTGATATATCTTTCATTGAATGTTATACAATATATATAACAGCATAATAAACATGCGAATATCATTAGAATTATGTTTTCGTCTATTTTTAGCAAGATGATAATGGTAAGAATGCTTTCTAAAACTAACATAATTATAGTATAATAGTACTTAGTATAAGTATAATAGTATAATTTCTATTAAAACATAATAACAAAATATTTATTCGTTGTTTTTAATGATAAAATATACCAGGAAAATTGTCAAACATATTTTATTTGCGTTTTTTATAGATGAAAAACTAGGTACTTATAACTAAAAATAGGTACTTAGCACAAATTAATTACAAAAATAAAAATAAAAAATGATATATTATAAATAAAATGGTATTTAAAAATATATATCACTGCAGTATATTATCGGTGCCTAGTTAGATAGTTGTTTTTATTTAACTCTTCAAAGGGATCAAAAAGTAAATGATATTATGTGACATGTGACATGTCTGATTGTTTTAACTCTTCAAATAATTTTTTTTTTTCATTGCCAATGCATTACATTGTACCTACTAAAAAAATAAGATTTAACGAATCACAAGTGAAAATCTATCAAATTTATCTGATCTTGAATATAACATTATGGTATTGGTAAAAAATTATATATTTTTACAATTTTAAATCGTTTTATTTATGTTATCTGCAGAAGATGAACAAAAGCAGCAGCAGCAGCAGCAACAACAACAACAACAACAACCTCAACCTCAACAACAACAACAACAACAACAACAACAACAACAGCAGCAGCAGCATCCACAGCCACCGACAAACGCATCTGCCCTTCAGTTGTCGAAAACAAACGCCGTCTGTGATACAAATTCAAGTACGGGCCAGCAACCACGGTGCATCATGGAAACAATAACCATGACTACGGTTACCGAGAGGCAGATCGTGCAGGAGACCAGGCCCGTAGACGTGCCCGATCTCGAAGGCGCCTGCAAGACCGAAGATACAAAAGYCGTCACCGGTGCCACTGCCGTAACCCCCGATGAGGGATATGTAATGATTAAATGTGGTAATAATACTATGTTGTACAACAACCGTAACCCAAACTCGGCAGTGCGACAGTTATTTCCGACCACAAAGTTCGTGTGCCCACCAACCCGTATCAAGGAGACAGATGACGCAAGACTGCTGAACAAATACTTAATCACGGAGGAGTCACTCCGGGCGTTTGACAGTCGATCGATGAACGGTGGCTTGGGCGGAGGAGGATTCAAGAGCGAACCGCACAGCGACGACGACGATGATGACACGTCGAACAGTCTCATCAGGCGAACCATCGAACGAAGTACTTTGAGGCGGAACACCGTGAAAAAAAAGAACATCAACGATTCCAAAGAGATATCGCTGATCGAGAAGATCCGGCGGCTAACGTGCGACAGCGATGACGATGCAGACGACCCAACCAAGAAGSCTTCGGGTGTCATGCAGGAACAGGCGACTGCTTATACTGTATTGGTGCAGTGTGATTCAGTGACGCCATCCGCGGCCACCGCTACTCCGGTGTACAAAAAATTCACAGAATTACTGGGCAGTGGTAGTGGCGGCGGGCGGTATGATCAACCATTGCCGCCACCGGTTGTTCAATCGATGGTCGACGGCGATGTGACTGGTAAAGCCGACGGACTTGACCTGTGCGATGGTCACTCAGCTGCCAGCAGCAGGGCGGCCGTTCGGTCAGCCACCGGTGGCAAACCTTTTCTGTCCACGTTAGCGACGGCGTGCGTAACAGGTAACGTGCATCCGGCCACCGGAGGATCGGTGGCTGGAGGGGCACCGCAACCATCACATTGTCCGCAACCAGACGTGGTAGCCGGCACTCAAGCTCCTAGTTCGCACAGACAGGAAGAGCTTGCAGCGTTCGTGCAACAAGACTCGAGTCGCCTAGAGAAGATCCGCAAGCGGTATATGCCGCCCACATCCACCACGTCAGCGGCTGAGGACGAGGACGACGAGAACGACGATTACGGGTTCAATCGGCGGCCGGAAGTGCATGGCATCCGGTCCGGGTTCTCTGCACAGATCACCATCAAGAACAACCCGCAGCCGCCGCAACGTCCCAGGTCATTTTATGGTGAACCGGCCCTGCAGACGACGCAACTTGACGTCCAGCCCGACTTTGTGCCTAGATATCCGGCGGCCTCTGTGACGTCTGTCCGCTCTCGGATACAGGGTGATCCCCGGGTCCCCCCACCATACCCGGCTGCGGCTCAACGATCCATCATCAGAGTGACGCATGGCCAACAACAGCAGACCATCCGCGTACCGTACCAGGCGGTTGGACCCGTTCAGGTRCACTTGTTGACCACAGCTGCAGCGGCCGCCTCCACCGCCACCGGCAATGTTACCGGTCACCCACCCCCGCCACAGGTTCAAATCCGACACCCGCCTAATGAGTACATCGTTCAACACGGCCATGCCAGAATACACCACGGCCAACAGTTTGTTATCGCTCGTGGCACCCAGACGGCCGCGATATCGACCACTCGTTACTATCAGTTACCACCTCCCCCGCCGCCCAATATTCAACAGCAGCAGTTCCCGCAACCACAGTTACCGCCTCACRCTTTCCAACCGTCTGACGACCATCCGGCGACACAATTCAAACAGACGTCTCCCACCAGAGGAGTTGCAGCTAACAGTAAACTACAAATGCAACAGCAGCAACAGCAACAAGACTATGCCGACCATAATTTACCATCGTCGGTCTCGCAGACGCCGAAAAACCCAATGCTTTTTTATGGTATGAATGTCTGATGGCGATGTATTGGCTCAGTATAGTGCTTACACGTTGTACCTACTACTTAATATATATCATTATGTACCCATGTATTCATGCATGTATGAATATATGTATGTATGTTTATATGTATGTATGTATGTAT